AGGAGAAAACCATTTAAATTCCACTTCTGATGTCCAGAACAGGCAAATCTACAGAGACAGAAAATACATGGGTGGCTGACTAGGGCTTGGGGCAAGGGTGGGGGCAGGCAGTTGGGAGAAAATGGGGAATAACTTCTAAATGGAATGGGGTTTCTTTTGGAGCATGATGAAAATGTTCTAAGGTTGACTGTGGTGATGGTTGCACAATACTACGAATGTACTAAAAACCATTAAATTGGATGCTTTAAATGAGTGAACTGTACGATAAGGCAAATTATATCTCAATAAAGTTGATATTTTAAAATTTGCATTTCTGCCCCCACCCCTTCCACCTTAAACTATCAGAGAAAAGATACTATGTCTCAGAAAACAGAAGTCAAATTTAAAGGGGCATATCCCAGCAGCAAGTCTCTAAACCAACTGTCAATATGGAAAAAAAAACATAGTTCCTGAAAAACCTCACCACCCCTCAAAACTAAGAGCCTGATTCACTTTCATGTCTATGAAACCACATTTGTTTTGCCATTGAGTCCATGAGACAGGCATACATGAAGTCCAGTGCATTCTGCAGGCTTTTCCTACAAGGCAGAGAGAGGCAGCCCGCCCAGCCACTGAGGCGGGGAGTTAATCTTGCAAGAAGACTGAAACTTTAAGCTGCCAGATGTTATTAGAAACAGCAAAGATATTAGAAGACTTTTTTTTTTTCTTTCTAACTTGTGATGCTTCTTTCGGTATAGCCATGACTTCATTCAAACAGGTTACCAGGATTCTTCCCACCAATCGCTAATACACACACACAACTGTGTTAAGTTACCAACAAATGGCATGAAGAAGGCCTCAACCTACCTCCTTACACCCAAACCAAAAATTGTCCTTCTGCTCTTAAGTGACTTTTGCTCCAAGTCTTGACCACCCTGAATGCTGGGAAATAACAACTACCATTAATTGAGCAGCTATCACCAGGCTCAAAACTAAAGTACTTTCTTCATACACAGTGTTTCACAACCACCCTAGGAGGTCAGCGTGGCTATTCCCATATTACACAGGAAGAACTCAAGCTTAGTGACTTGTCCAGAGTCAACCAGTATGTGATGGGGTCAAGATTCAAACCAAAGAAATCCTAAAACTCTTAATTCTGTACGTCTAAACTTCATCGCCACCCTCTTATTGTCTCTACAGAAAGAAAGAGACTTATTTAAACACACAGAATCTTCTTCACTGAGCCACTGATTAATCAGGTCGAGAAAAGGGTCCTGGGCAAATAAGTGCCCACAGACAAGGCCTGGATAAATCAGCACAGACAAAAAATGACTGGGAGTCTCAAAGGCACTGCTCCACATCAAATGAGAGCTCCAAAAAATGTAGGTCCCTAATTATTTTATTGCTTATCTTCTATGTGTCCAGACCAGAGGTCTGGACTCCAGGGAAAGACTTCAAGGGGTTCATTTTTTATGGAGTCCACGGTGTTTATAACAATTTTCATGGGGATTCAAGAGACAACCGACCTAGACTATGGTTTTGCTTCAGGATTAAGAAGAGCACAGGCTTTGGAATCAGACCTCTTGGGTTTAATTACACTTAACTGCTCTGTTGCCTTGGGCAGGTTACTGACCTCTCTGATCTTCAGTTTCCTCACTCATAAAGTGGAAGTAGCAATAATAATAATAATGTAGCTGAACTTTGGCAATCCCTGGAGGCCAGTTTAATGGCCTCAGATTAACACACAAATGAAACCTAAACCCGAAGAACTGTAAATACTAAGTATTATATAAGGCCATAAAATTTTAGAGCTGGAAGAGACTTGTTAATCATCTAAACCAGTGTTACTGGTATAATTATGTATTTACTTTTTTTTTTTTTTTAAGATTTTTATTGGGGAATTGGGGGTATGGGAACAGTGCTGGGGAAGGGGAACAGACAAGTTGCTGTCGTTTTGTTCTTCAGTCTAGTTGTAGAGGACGTTGCTTCACTGGCCCAAGTTGGCACCATCATTGCGCTCTTCCCGGGCAAGGCAGATCAGTCGCCGGCTTCCGGACGGCTGCTCACTGCGGCTGCTGGCCGCTCACACTGGCTGCTGGCTACATACGGTAGCCCATGGCAACCCACTGCCACAGGGGCTGCAGCCTACGCCTTCACCAGTGACTCACAGCAGCCCAGCTCCAGGTTGAGCTGTTGTTCAGCATCTTAGCTGTGGAGGGTAGTGTCACTGGCCCTCATATGTGGGATCCGAACGGGGCCCTCTGGCGTCCCAAGCCAGTTCTTAACCATCGCGCCACTCGGCCGGCCCTGTATTTACTTTTTTTTTTTTTTGGTAGAAACCAGCAATTTATTCTCTCACAGTTTTGGTGTTGAAGGTCTAAAATCAAGGTGCTGGTTCTTGGCAGGCTCTGGGAAAGAGGCAGCCCTTGCCTCTTCCTAGCTTCTGGTGGTTGTGGGAAATCCTTGGCGGTTTTGGCTTTCACGTACATCAAAACAGTCTCTGCCTCTATCACCACACAATTTTCTTCCCTGTGTATCTCCTTATAAGATCACCAGTTATCAGGTTTAGGGCCAACTCTAATTCAGTATGATTACTTCTTTCTTAACTCGATTATATCTGCAACCTGTATTTACTTTTAAAAACACTTGCTTTACACTTACAGTAGGGATAAGTATCATCAGAAGATAATACACAAATACTAATATAGTAGTATACAATGTAGCAAGCACCTAATGATAATGGAATGCCTGAAGTCTGGGAAATAGTATTAATAGTAAATAATACTTGATCAACTTCACCCTGTTTATTTTAAGAGGTCATGTTCAAGTAGTGGTATTAGTGTAAGAGTATAGTTAGTTGTAGAGTTGGATATACAAAGATTAGAACACCTAGTTCCGCAACAGTCTTTTTCCCCAAATTATAGGGCTGGTCCATCCCATTAGACAACTTTAGTAATTCTTAAACCCTATCGCTGCATTTCTTCCTTCTACCCAAAGAATTCTTACCCATCCCTCCCCCAAAAAAAACAGTAGCAGGCAAGCAAAATGCCAGTCACACACATGCATCCTCTTCAGATTCAAGGCCGAGATACAAAATGCAAGTCCAAATTCCAGCAGGCTTAGTCCAGGAGGTCCATCCTGGGCAAGTGGGATGGGGCAGGATTAAGAACTCCATCTACAGGAACTCCATCTCGGGCTCAGACCCACTGGGGGGTTCAAAACTAAGCCCCACTGCTAGGAGTATGCGGCTTTGGGTTAGTGACTCCCCAAACCTGTTTTGTCATTTGTAAAATGAATAACAGCACGTGAAATTATTCATGGGTGAAGCAGTGCCTGGCATGGACTGTCTCCGTAGCCACAGGGGCAACAGAATATTCCCCCACTACATTCTCGGTGCCCAGGACACAGCAGGCATGCCAAACACTCGCAAAATAAAGCAGAGGCCCAATTAAAGCCGGCCTCAGATTCTATCAAAATTCGGGAGCCCAACCTGTAAATGGGCTCATAACTTACTCCACACCAGGGGTCAAGAATTCCCTGAACCAACGATGGCCCTGATCATTGACAAAGGAAGAAGTCTGTTCTCAGGCCTCAGGTCACAGTCTCACAGTTCTAAGATTATTTCACCCCTTCAAGACTGGCACCTGCTGCCCTGTGGTTCCATTGTCTCCCTCTTCATTTTTAGAAACAACAGGCTCACAGAATGACATCTCAGGCACTTGACTTCTGTGAAGTCTCCTTTAAAGAGGCCTGGGGACAACTCTCACAGCTAGGTCCCTACTCTGCCAACACAACCTTTCTTGGCTGAAAGGTATCACCTATTAAGAAATCCATCACAAAGACCAGAAAAGAAAAGTCAAAGACAATTCCACACTCTGCCTTCACCTTATTCTTGATTCTCAAAACTAAAAGATGGGCTGAACTATTTTTAAATGGGTAGACTGAAAAGGAACCCAAAAAACCATCATACAATCCAAGGCGCTCATCCCCAGAGCACACTTGTTTGGCCGGAAGGAGAAACTCTCTGGCTCTGCAAAAGTCAAGGGGGAAAAAAAATATTACACTGAATGCAAATTTCATTTCCTACCAAAAGGAAATAAGCAAAAATGCTTTTACAAAAAGGCTACAGAATCTTAAAGGATGGTTTAAACTTCTCTTTCCTGAGCGAGGACCGAGGACATTCCTTCTCAGATATTTGCGTTTTCGAGGATAACAGGAGAGGGAAAAAAAAGAGGGAGGGAGAGGAAGAGTGTCAGGATATATTCGTGCTATTTTTAAACCCTCGCCCACAGTTTAGAGTAAAGGAACACTCGGATTCTGTAGTCCCACCCTATCATCTTCTGCTAAACACAAGAATCAGGACCTGCATACGTACATGGCCCTGATTCCAGATTTGGGCGTTACTGGCTGTCAATACTCCAAAGAATCGCTAGCTAACCAACCTTTCCACCCCAGCCCTTCTCTGAGTGGCGCCGGTGCCTTTCGGAGAACCTGGGGGCCCTGAGCAGGCTGGAGCTGCGTGCACGGAGCGAAGCAGTACAAGCCGCCTTTTCCCGAGGGAAGGCAGCGCCCCCTTTTCCCGAGGGAAGGCAGCGCCCCCTTGGCAGGGAACACTCCAGTCCCCCGGTTGGGCACCCAGGGGTGAGCAACTCTTCCCCAAGGGAGCTGGAGTCGTGGATGCGACGGAAATTCCCAACAGGATGCAGCACTCCAGTCCCACTCCCGGACACCTGTGTGCAGCGCACATCCACCGTGGTGACCCAGAGCACCATTTGCGCTCGGTCACCTCCCGGCCATCCCAGAACTCACACGGCTGGAAGACGGGTCTCTTTCCTCAACGGATTGTGGCTGTCTCGCCAATTTTACGTATTCTTCCCTCCTCGTTACAATCATCTATGCCCGTCCCTCAGTGCCCCGGGGACAGAAAAACCAGCCCGGCGCACGGACGCCCAGGGCTGAGAGCCTTCCGACAGCCCCTCCCGCCCCGGGGCCTCGTCCCCGCCAGGCTCGGGGGCACTCACTCTTGAGCGCGCTGATGAGAGACTTCCCGTCCTTGATGAGCTCCTTGATGAATTTGTTGGTCTTGTCGAGCTCCGCTTCGTGTGACTTGAGTGTCTCTCGGAAGTGCGGGCTGTCCAGACAGCAGTCGCTGAATTCCAGAGCAGGGAGCCCCATGGTGCCCGCGACTCCCAGCCGGGGGGCGCGCCTCCCCCGGGGCCCGGGCGGCCCGCAGCCCCGAGCACGCACGCAGTGGGACCGGGGCTGGCACCCCTGACGGCCGGCAGCTCCACAGGTGTGGCGCCGGCTCGCCCTCCGCTCAGCGTCCGCCTGCGCGCACGAGTCCTGAGCCGAGCTGGGACCCGGCTGCAGCACGGCGTGCTACGGAGCGGCGGACCTACAGCGGCGCCGAGAAGCGAGCGAGCAGGCGAGCTAGTGCGGCCGCCGCCTCCCCGCCTCTTTCGCTTGTTCGCTCTCCAGCAGCCTCGAGCGCCCTCTCACAGCAGCCTCAGCCGCCCCGCCGGCGTCCGGGCCGCTCGAACCTGCTAGCGGATGATCTAATCCCAGCCGGACCAATCAGCGCGCCCGTCTCAGCCCGACCCCCAAGCCTCCCGAGACGCTCGGCCCTTCCGCGGCTTTGACCCAATCAGAGAAGACTAGAGGCGGGGCCTGAGGCAGAGGGCGGGGCCCACGCCACCGCCTAGGACTGCAGCACAAGCTCCGCCCCCTCCCGCCCGCGCGGTGTGCAGACTAAGAGCTTTGGAGGTAATCCCTGCGGTGCTTGGGCCCCCACCATACCCGATCTTGCCCCCCTGATGTGGTCCGGGTTCGAGCCTGAGATAGTGTGTTTGCAGGTCTGGGCAGCGGAGGAGCTTAGATGTGCCCAGCACGAAAAAACTGGGAATTACGGCTGCAGTTCCCCTCTGCCCGCCCTGCATTGCTGGGCAATCGAGTTTGCACTCAAAATGCAGCCCCTACCCCGGAGAATCCCGAGTGCATCAGGCAACCACGTTGACCGTAGGTAGTAGGCACACGCTCTTTCCAGTCAGGCAAAAAAGATTTGCATCTTAAAATTACCAGCTCTTGTCTGCAGTCTTCCCGCCCCCTACAGTCCGTCCCCGTCACAGCCACTCCTGCTCAAAACCCGCCCACGGCTGCCCTCAGCTAAAGGATCTAACATCCTTACGAGAATTTCGGCCGCCTGTTGTTTTCCTGTTACGCATCTAACACAATTTTATATAACTTCTCCCACTGCCTGTCGTCCTTTGTTACACCGGAGCTTCACGAGGGAAGAGCTACCGCAGTTTTCTTGTATGCTGCGGTATCCCCAACACCTAAAACTGATTGGCACTGAATGACATTGAGTGCTCCCATGTACTACTTGTGCTATGGTGATTGATAAGTATTTGTGGAATAAATGAGTGGATCCTTTCGGGTGTCCCTCTCCACCTTCCATCCCCAATGCGATGCCCTCTGGTCCCTGTGTTCCACCATAGGAATCAATTCAGGCAGCTCGCTCACTGCTCTTGTCAGGCTGGATCCCACAATGTCTAGTGCTGAATTGTGAACTCCTAGAGGATAGGGACTGTCCTTGAATAAATTATTTGTATGTCCAGGAACTAGCAGCCCTCTTTCAGTTAAGGGGTGGGGGGGGTTGCTTTTTGTTTTGTTTTGTTAAATAAGTCTGCTATGTGCAGGTACTAGGCTATATAGTAGGGATTTAAAGACGAGTAATAGAATGAAATTGACTGCTGCTGGTCAGTGGGAGAGAAAGAAACAACAAGCAGTAGCAATGCTGCACAATAAGTTAGGATAGGAGAAGGCCTGGGAGCTGGGGAACTTGAAGGGGTTGCCAACTCAGGGGGCCAGAGAAAGCATCTATGTTGAGAGATCAATTGATTGAATGAATGAATGAATGAATGAATGAATGAATGAGATCTATTTGCTGGTTGTATCTACATATTTAGACTTGATAGCAGGCATGGGTTTTAACCTCAGTTCTGCCACTTGCTGGCTGTGTGAACTTGGACAGTTAATCTCTAAACCTCAGATTTTTTTTAAGTGTAAAATGGGGATGATAATAGTACCTACCTCACAGGGCTGTTGTGAAGATTAAGTGATAGGATGCACATAAAATGCTTACTTAAACCAGTGTCTGTAGTGTAATAACTGCTCCCCCCTCAAAAACAAAAATATGTTAGATAAATTAAATGGTAACTAACCACGTTATTCAAAGATGAAGTGTGATAAATTCCATTTTATAATCTTTTGCTTCCTCTTGCAGCTGTTAGATAAAATTGTTAAAGAACTGATTTTTCAGAGTAATACTGTAAACTGTAAAGGTTGGTACTCACATGAAGATAGAATTGGAGGTAGGTCTCCTCTATTATTCTGGTAAGCCAGGAGGAAACCAAGAACCTCAATGAACTGGAACCAGGTTCAACTCAGGACTCTAAAAAGAAGAAGATTTGCTGGTTACTTTGGAGACATCAGGGTCTAACTCTTCAGAGACAATTCCCTGGCCTCCCAATTTAAGTAGTTCCCACTCTTAGTCTCCATTGTTATTTTATATCTTAGACCCCTGATTGTTTTCTTCAGTGCAGGCATCACAATTTGAAGTTACTTTGTCTGTGAACCCCACACACACATTGTCTCCCTCGCCCCCCAACCCCACTCCATTAGAATGTAAGCTCCCTGTCGGCAAGACAGTGCTGGGACTGTGTGGTTCATGGCTGTATCCTTTGTGCCTAGAATGGTGCCTACATATTGTAAATTCCCAGTAACTATGTCATTCATGGATGGATGGATGGATGGATGGATGGATGGATGGGGAGCCCTGGCAGACACTCAGTGCTCAGGCTCGCCTTAGAAGTATAGAAAGGAAAGTGAACTGATCTTGCAGCTGCCACAAGAGGAAAAAAGAACTAGTGAAATTTGTGACCACACAGACCTAGAACTGAAGTCCTAGACCAACCACATGAACTCAGAATTTCTAGGGAGAGGAACAAAGAGAATATATGGTAGCTGGGTGACCCCAAGCTAAAAATAAATTACATAAACCACACACACATGGAAATACACTATCCACTGAGACTTGGGGTAAATAAGAATTCGGTAGGTTGCTTCTTACGTCAGGCACAATCATCTTTCTTCACTTGGCTTCTGGGTCACTACCCACTGACTGCCTCTTGGGTCTTCTTTCTCACTGTTCCCTCCTCCTCAGCTTCCTTTACTGATTCCTTCGCATTTTCCCAACCTTTGGACACTGGACCGTCTCAGGTTGGTTCTCAAACCTGTATTCACACACACCTCCTAGATGACCCCAACCTGACTCATGGCTGCAAATGCCATCTGCACACCAACAACCTCCAAATATCTACCCTAGCTTTGACCTCCTTTCTGAACTCCAGATAAGTATAAATGACTTGACTGCTGAATACTCTACCTGTATATCCAAATAGGCCTTTCATCCTTAAAAAGAGACCAGACACATGATCCAATCAGAGGCAATGAGATAGAATTCTTAGACTTGCTAGAGCAATGAGGCCAAAGGTACTCTTTGTTGAACTTGAAGCTGGATAGATATACACCGGGAGATACCGTATTTGCCGGCGTATAAGACGATTTTTTGGCGCTGAAATATATGCCTCCAAGTGGGGGGTCGTCTTATACGCCAGGTACACTTCAGATAGACTGCCCATAGTGCTTGCCCCGTGCCATAGTGGCCTCCCGATGCCCGCCCACTTCATTCCACATACCGTTCAGGCATCAGCAGCGCTGCTGGGTGTATGCTCGGCTGTTATGCGATTTTGCTGTTATGCGATTTTACCACACTCGCAAAATCGCACACAGCCGACCATATAACAAACTCTGTATTTTGAGTGGAAATGTTAGGGGGTCGTCTTATACGCCGAGTCGTCTTATACGCCGGCAAATACGGTAATGTGAGCCACTATATCATGGAGAGGGCCCATCTGAGAATGAAGCTAACACAGAGGAAACAAGAACTGAGAGATGAAGACAGAAAGAGAGATCAAGTATTGAAGACATTGCTTGAGATCCTAGATCTGGCCATATCTGAAGCTAGCATATTGCTATACTTCTCAATTATGTAAGCCAAAAAATTTCCTTTTGAAGCTTTGGCCACATTTTGTTAGCTTTTCTGCCACTTGCAACCAAAAAGTCCAGATGAAAGCCATAATTCCATCTCTATTTTTTTCTACTTCATCCACCAATAGGGATTCAACTGTCTATAGTCAGAGTTACCTCCTTTGCCTGGCTAGCCTATAAATGCAATCCACACTATGCTCAGATTTTCAGGTTGGCCTCTTGTCACCTTCCGTATCAGCCTCACTCTCTGTTTCTCCTTCGTGCTCTCTCTGTCACAGAGCTCTAGTCCTCACCTGAACTCACTGAGCTCACAAACTTCTAACTTCCAAGGCTCACCAAGCTGTGACCCTCACTGCTTCCCATGAACACTTCCTGTTTATTATATTCACCTACAGTGGGCTCTTTCTGCCCTGTCGATCTGTTTGTTTTAATAACTAGATGCAGGACTGGATGGAAGCCACATCTGTCCCTAGGCTTGGAAAGCCCAATGCCCAATTGTTGAGCCCTGGCCACCACCCAACACCCCCGGTACATTCTGTTCGAGCTCAAGCTGCCTTGTCCCGACTGCTATACCTGCTGCTGCTTTTGCCTCCTTCCCTCCTGATGACAAGTTCAGCCTGATGTCACATCCAACTCCGTCATCTCTATTGTGATTGTGTCACCCAGGACCTTTGTCACTTCGCCTCAGAGATCTTGGGAATTTCTGTGAAAGCATACCTAGTGCTCTAGAGGAATCCAGCTTCCAAACACTATTTCACAACCACTGTGATGGTGCTCTCCCTCCTCAAATAAAATTGTTTCCCCTTTTCCTGCCTCCAAACAGGCAAGGTAAGTCATTCACATCTGCCAAGAGAGAAAAATAGCTATCGTCAGAATTGTACAAGAGGAGAAGGCTTTTCCCTTCAGCTTTTGGCTGAAACAGAGGGGTGTTTTTCTGATGACTTGATCTCCTTCCTCTGCTTTTGTTATCTTTCTGCCATTCAATAACTATAAATTGAGTCACCTTCTATATCCTTGTCAAGTCCCAGAGAATTGAGTTGTAACCATTCAACTCAAATTCAACAAAT